CTTATGATCCAGCAAACTGACCGGACCTTTTGCCCAAAGGTGGGCCCCAATCCTTGTGGAAGGGTTGGAAAGCCAAGTATTTGGCCTACCAAGGCCCAATAAGATGGTGGATGACCTCTGGTAAGCTTTTTGCCTGTGTATAGGAACTTTTATTGTTTTTATGTTTACTCTGTAATGGTTTAACCTTAAGAATAAATGTGTTTGCTCAGAATGAACTGTGTGGTAACTTGTAGCTCCTGGCAGCACACTGTTCATAGCTCTCCCGGAGAGAGCACAGCACAGGCGCTGGCCTCAAGGCAGAGTGGCTAGCTGGGCATATTTCAGTATAAAGCAGGGAGCTGTGCAGTCATAAAACCCTGGTCAGGAGGGAGAGAGATATGGGACTCCAGTTCCACCCAAGAAGGTGACGGATGAGAGCTGGAAACCTTATGTGGGTGCCCTCCTGGGACCACGGGGGGCGGGATATAGGTGCAGTCATCCTGAAATTGTGACGTTCCTGTTACTGTTTACAAAAGCATTTGGAAAAAATGATCCAGTAGCATTTTAATTCAGAGATCCTTTAAAATATGGATTTAGGTTGATTTTTGTATTTTTAATTTTGTAATCTTATAGTGAATTGATCTTAGAACTCCCTGGGTTCTGTAAGTGTGATAAAACAGTAAGCTGTCTTATTTTGTAGTTCATATGCGCTCCTGCTCATTTTACAATAATTCATTAATTTAATAATAAAACTTAAACTGATACAAAATCCTTTGGAGACTGTAGCCATATACTATATCACTGTGTCCCTTTAGCCACTTCTAGGGGATGCCAGAACTCAAAGGGCTAAAATGTTATCAAATAAACCTTAATTCTGAATGTTTCTAGGGGCCGCTGTTGAGGTTGGAAGGTCCATAATGAAAATGATTTTGATGATTCTTTGAGGTATGTGGTTAGATCCTGGGCTGCTCCTAGGTACCCAAATAACAGTTGTGGCCAAGAGCACTTTTCTTTCCCCCTCCCCCCAACCTGTGCCTGATTGGAAGAATGTGACCCTCTCTGTCCAACATGGACCTTGCCATGCTTATCTGTGCCTGTCACTTCAAAATTAAAATGGCTATAATACTTTGCTTAGTGCTACACCTACAGAAACTGATGCTGATGCCAAATATGACAGGTTTCAGAATAGCAGCCACGCTAGTCTGTATCCGCAAAAAGAACAGGAGTACTTGTGGCACCTTAGAGACTAATTTTTACTACGCCTGTTTTATAGACAGATGAATATCAACATTGAGAGTCAGTGCCTAAATCAGATTATTGTGTTTAAGTACCTTGGAGTGCTGGTTAGCAGCAAATGGAGAAATCAACAGAGAACAACACACAAGGTTGCTGAGCATGGGGGAAGTCTGGAACAAAGTAGATGGGGGGATTTATGATAAAATGGATGCCCAGACTACTTAAGGGATAACCATACAAAACTGTGGTAAGACCAGCTATTCCATATGGATCAGAGACATGAGTCACCAAAAGGTGCACTTGAGAAGACTTAAAGCCATTGAAATTAGGTGTTTGAGGGGAATGAGAGGGGAGATATTAATGGACCATATGTGGAATAATGTCACTGGGGTTGAGACCAAGGTCTGCAGAATCAGAAGTTGTAAGAGAGGAGGCTGAGACGGTATGGGCAGGTACGAAGGATGGATGAAGGGAATCCTGTTAGGAAGGCATTTGAGACTGGAGTTCATAAGTGGAGAAAAAAAGGATGGCCAAGAAAATGGTGGATGGACTGTGTATGGGAGGATGGAATGGATAGAGATCCAGCCTTGGACCAGCAAGCCTGGAAAAGACTGATCCAGTGACCTGACCCCAGCTAGCTGGGAAAAGTGATAGAAGAATGACTTTATTAAGCATGTTTTATGCCACTATGTCCGCTATGCCAGTGGTCAAGGTTCTACACTGGCTTCCAGTAGACTTCTGGGAAGAAAACACAGGGTTGAAATTAATCTGTAAGGCTCCTGGTTACCTGAGAGATCACTCTGACCTTGTTCCATACTGCAGCAGTATGGATCTGAAGAGATGCCCTCTTTAACAGGATTGAGTTGCTGGTTCCGCTAAGGCTCCTTGACTTTGAAACTCTCTTTGTCCTTGTTCTATTAGAGGCCAGATCAATTAACTTTCCTGGAATGTTGCAAAGCCTGATCAGCTGCGGGTGGAGATTGGGTTTATTTTATCATCTTTGTTATGTGGACTGGTGAATATTTATCTGTCGAGGTCAAGTCAGATGTCCTCCATATTATGGTGGTGGTTTCTGTATTTTATGGTATCAGAGCCCAGAAGCATTTATATATCCAACAAAGGGTATGTCTACACTATGGAATAAGGTCGAATTTATAGAAGTTGGTTTTTTAGAAATCGGTTTTATATATTCGAGTGTGTGTGTTCCCACAGAAAATGCTCTAAGTGCATTAAGTGCATTAACTCGGCGGAGCGCTTCCACAGAACCGAGGCTAGAGTCGACTTCCGGAGCTTTGCACTGTGGGTAGCTATCCCACAGTTCCCGCAGTCTCCGCTGCCCATTGGAATTCTGGGTTGAGATCCCAATGCCTGATGGGGCTAAAACGTTGTCACGGGTGGTTCTGGGTACATATCGTCAGGCCCCCGTTCCCTCCCTCCCTCCGTGAAAGCAAGGGCAGACAATTGTTTCGCGCCTTTTTTCCTGAGTTACCTGTGCAGACGCCATACCACGGCAAGCATGGAGCCCGCTCAGGTAACCGTCACCCTATGTCTCCTGGGTGCTGGCAGACGCGGTACGGCATTGCTACACAGTAGCAGCAACCCCTTGCCTTGTGGCAGCAGACGGTACAGTACGACTGGTAGCCGTCATCGTCATGTCCGAGGTGCTCCTGGCCACGTCGGCTGGGAGCGCCTGGGCAGACATGGGCGCAGGGACTAAATTTGGAGTGACTTGACCAGGTCATTCTCTTTAGTCCTGCAGTCAGTCCTATTGAACCGTCTTATGGTGAGCGGGCAGGCGATACGGACTGCTAGCAGTCGTACTGTACCATCTTCTGCCAGGCAGGCAAGAGATGAGGATGGCTAGCAGTCGTACTGTACCATCTTCTGCCGAGCAGCCATGAGATGTGGATGGCATGCAGTCCTTCTGCACCGTCTGCTGCCAGCCAAAGATGTAAAAGATAGATGGAGTGGGTCAAAACAAGAAATAGACCAGATTTGTTTTGTACTCATTTGCCTCCTCCCCTGTCTAGGGGACTCATTCCTCTAGGTCACACTGCAGTCACTCACAGAGAAGGTGCAGCGAGGTAAATCTAGCCATGTATCAATCAGAGGCCAGGCTAACCTCCTTGTTCCAATCAGAACGATAACTTAGGTGCACCATTTCTTATTGGAACCATCCGTGAAGTCCTGCCTGAAATACTCCTTGATGTAAAGACACCCCCTTTGTTGATTTTAGCTCCCTGAAGCCAACCCTGTAAGCCATGTCGTCAGTCGCCCCTCCCTCCGTCAGAGCAACGGCAGACAATCGTTCTGCGCCTTTTTTCTGTGCGGACGCCATACCAAGGCAAGCATGGAGGCCGCTCAGCTCACTTTGGCAATTAGGAGCACATTAAACACCACACGCATTATCCAGCAGTATATGCAGCACCAGAACCTGGCAAAGCGATACTGGGCGAGGAGGCGACGTCAGCGCGGTCACGTGAGTGATCAGGACATGGACACAGATTTCTCTGAAAGCATGGGCCCTGCCAATGCATGCATCATGGTGCTAATGGGGCAGGTTCATGCTGTGGAACGCCGATTCTGGGCTCGGGAAACAAGCACAGACTGGTGGACCGCATAGTGTTGCAGGTCTGGGACGATTCCCAGTGGCTGCGAAACTTTCGCATGCGTAAGGGCACTTTCATGGAACTATGTGACTTGCTTTCCCCTGCCCTGAGGCGCATGAATACCAAGATGAGAGCAGCCCTCACAGTTGAGAAGCGTGTGGCGATAGCCCTGTGGAAGCTTGCAACGCCAGACAGCTACCGGTCAGTTGGGAATCAATTTGGAGTGGGCAAAACTACTGTGGGGGCTGCTGTGATGCAAGTAGCCCACGCAATCAAAGATCTGCTGATATCAAGGGTAGTGACCCTGGGAAATGTGCAGGTCATAGTGGATGGCTTTGCTGCAATGGGATTCCCTAACTGTGGTGGGGCTATAGACGGAACCCATATCCCTATCTTGGCACCGGAGCACCAAGCCGCCGAGTACATAAACCGCAAGGGGTACTTTTCGATAGTGCTGCAAGCTCTGGTGGATCACAAGGGACGTTTCACCAACATCAACGTGGGATGGCCGGGAAAGGTGCATGATGCTCGCATCTTCAGGAACTCTGGTCTGTTTCAAAAGCTGCAGGAAGGGACTTTATTCCCAGACCAGAAAATAACTGTTGGGGATGTTGAAATGCCTATATGTATCCTTGGGGACCCAGCCTACCCCTTAATGCCATGGCTCATGAAGCCGTACACAGGCAGCCTGGACAGTAGTCAGGAGCTGTTCAACTACAGGCTGAGCAAGTGCAGAATGGTGGTAGAATGTGCATTTGGACGTTTAAAGGCGCGCTGGCGCAGTTTACTGACTCGCTTAGACCTCAGCGAAACCAATATTCCCACTGTTATTACTGCTTGCTGTGTGCTCCACAATATCTGTGAGAGTAAGGGGGAGACGTTTATGACGGGGTGGGAGGTTGAGGCAAATCACCTGGCTGCTGGTTACGCGCAGCCAGACACCAGGGCGGTTAGAAGAGCACAGGAGGGCGCGGTACGCATCAGAGAAGCTTTGAAAACCAGTTTCATGACTGGCCAGGCTACGGTGTGAAAGTTCTGTTTGTTTCTCCTTGATGAAACCCCCCGCCCCTTGGTTCACTCTACTTCCCTGTAAGCTAACCACCCGCCCCTCCTCCCTTCAATCACCGCTTGCAGAGGCAATAAAGTCATTGTTGCTTCACATTCATGCATTCTTTATTCATTCATCACACAAATAGGGGGATGACTACCAAGGTAGCCCAGGAGGGGTGGTGGAGGAGGGAAGGAAAATGCCACACAGCACTTTAAGCACAGCACTTTAAAAGTTTACAACTTTAAAATTTATTGAATGACAGCCTTCTTTTTTGGGGGCAATCCTCTGTGGTGGAGTGGCTGGTTGGCCGGAGGCCCCCCCACCGCGTTCTTGGGCGTCTGGGTGTGGAGGCTATGGAACTTGGGGAGGAGGGCGGTTGGTTACAGAGGGGCTGCAGTGGCAGTCTGTGCTCCAGCTGCCTTTGCTGCAGCTCAACCATACACTGGAGCATACTGGTTTGGTCCTGCAGCAGCCTCAGCATTGAATCCTGCCTCCTCTCATCACGCTGCCACCACATTTGAGCTTCAGCCCTGTCTTCAGCCCGCCACTTACTCTCTTCAGCCCGCCACCTCTCCTCCCGGTCATTTTGTGCTTTCCTGCACTCTGACATTATTTGCCTCCACGCATTCGTCTGTGCTCTGTCAGTGTGGGAGGACAGCATGAGCTCGGAGAACATTTCATCGCGAGTGCGTTTTTTTTTCTTTCTAAGCTTCACTAGCCTCTGGGAAGGAGAAGATCCTGTGATCATTGAAACACATGCAGCTGGTGGAGAAAAGAAAAAGGGACAGCGGTATTTAAAAAGACACATTTTATAAAACAGTGGCTACACTCTTTCAGGGTAAACCTTGCTGTTAACATTACATACATAGCACATGTGCTTTCGTTACAAGGTCGCATTTTGCCTCCTCCCACCGCGTGACTACCCCCTCAACCTTCCCCCCTCCCTGTGGCTAACAGCGGGGAACATTTCTGTTTAGCCACAGGCAAACAGCCCAGCAGGAATGGGCTCCTCTGAGTGTCCCCTGAAGAAAAGCACTCTATTTCAACCAGGTGACCATGAATTATATCTCACTCTCCTGAAGATAACACAGAGAGATAAAGAACGGATGTTGTTTGAATGCCAGCAAACATACACTGCAATGCTTTGCTCTACAATGATTCCCGAGTACGTGTTACTGGCCTGGAGTGGTAAAGTGTCCTACCATGAAGGACGCAATAAGGCTGCCCTCCCCAGAAACCTTTTGCAAAGGCTTTAGGACTACATCTAGGAGAACCGCAAATGCCAGGGCAAAGTAATCCTTTCACATGCTTGCTTTTAAACCATGTATAGTATTTTAAAAGGTACACTCACCAGAGGGCCCTTCTCCGCCTGCTGGGTCCAGGAGGCAGCCTTGGGTGGGTTTGGGGGGTACTGGCTCCAGGTCTAGGGTGAGAAACAGTTCCTGGCTGTCGGGAAAACCGGTTTCTCCGCTTGCTTGCTGTGAGCTATCTACAACCTCCTCATCATCATCTTCTTCGTCCCCAAAACCTGCTTCCGTATTGCCTCCATCTCCATTGAAGGAGTCAAACAACACGGCTGGGGTAGTGGTGGCTGAACCCACTAAAATGGCATGCAGCTCATCATAGAAGCGGCATGTTTGGGGCTCTGACCCAGAGCGGCTGTTCGCCTCTCTGGTTTTCTGGTAGGCTTGCCTCAGCTCCTTCAGTTTCACGCGGCACTGCTTCGGGTCCCTGTTATGGCCTCTGTCCTTCTTGCCCTGGGAGATTTTCACAAAGGTTTTGGCATTTCGAAAACTGGAACGGAGTTCTGATAGCACGGATTCCTCTCCCCAAACAGCGATCAGATCCCGTACCTCCTGTTCGGTCCATGCTGGAGCTCTTTTGCGATTCTGGGACTCCATCATGGTCACCTGTGCTGATGAGCTCTGCATGGTCACCTGCAGCTTTCCACGCTGGCCAAACAGGAAATGAGATTCAAAAGTTCGCGGTTCTTTTCCTGTCTACCTGGCCAGTGCATCTGAGTTGAGAGTGCTGTCCAGAGCGGTCATAGTGGAGCACTCTGGGATAGCTCCCGGAGGCCAATACCATTGAATTGTGTCCACAGTACCCCAAATTCGAGCCGGCAACGTTGATTTAAGCGCTAATCCACTTGTCAGGGGTGGAGTAAGGAAATCGATTTTAAGAGCCCTTTAAGTCGAAATAAAGGGCTTCATTGTGTGGACGGGTGCAGGTTTACATCGATTTAACGCTGCTAAATTCGACCTAAAGTCCTAGTGTAGACCAGGGCAAAGATTCAGATGTTTGTAGTTTGCCTGTCTTAAAAATAGGTGACTAGGTTTTCTTTGGAAGTAGAAGGCAAATGTTCCTGTTTGGAATGGTGTATTACAAGTCATCTGCCACTGGTATTTAGCTGGCTAAATATTCCTTTCTCACCCTCCCAACAGAAAAGTCATTTACTTCACCTTAGGATTTGCGGCATAAAGGATTCCAAAAAACAAGCATTTTGCTGGAGATTTCTTATTTTTTAAATATGTATGGCATAACTCCTCGAAGGAGGAATGAAGGCTCCCATCTTCTTCCTTGCTGAACAGCACTCCAGGGCTATGGATCACAAAGAGGAGTCTGGGACTTGCCAGCCAGCAAGCCTGGGCTCCTAACCCAACTAATTTTGGCCTTGTTCCATAAATTGTAACGTCTTTTGAGGACAAGGACCGTATTTTTGTTCTATATATGCACAGCGCTTAACACAGTGAGGTACTGATCCATGATAAGGGCTCCTAGGGGTACAGTAATGAAAGTATTTAATAATAATCAGTAGCAACTGTCCGGTAAAAGTTCCAAACCTGAGCTCCTTGTGTGTTTGCAATTGCATGTCACAATCAGCCTGCTGTGTATTGGATACAGGGCTGGACAGACAGCTGTTTCAAGCATAGTGGATATTGAGCACTTGGGGGGGATAATTGAAAATTCAGTCTTTATGGTAAAAGCAGGTGTTTTTATTTCATTTTTTCTCCAAATAGCTTTAGGAATTGAGATTCACTGCCTCACATTTGGAACGGAAGGAGCTACTCCCTCTGCTTTCCAGAGTTTTGTTTAAACTCCACCTTTGAGAGAATCAGAGTAACTTAGGTGCTATCATCAGGACCAACTTTAAAGAGGGAATCAAATGAACGCTTCAGGCCTCATGGGTCTCACAGTGTTTAAGACAAGAGCTGTCTCTGCTTTAGCCACATACCTCTTCAAATCAGTCACTGTGCACATAGTCTGGATAAGAACACAGCGAATCTCTGGGAGTTCACTGAAGAGTAGATTTGTGCTGCTCCTTCAAGATCTTAAACTCTTCCACAAAAAGCTGTTCATGGAAACCCCTTGGGAAGCATGCAATGACACGATAAGGTTATAAAGACTACACAGTAAAATAATATTGCTACACTAGCTCTGAATGCAAAACAAGTTTTTGGAAAGTACACCTATGTATGAATACAATGGGGTTTGGTTGTATTGGCCCTCAGGCAGTCACTGTCTTGTGCTCAAACAAGGAACTGGATAGAGTTCAGAGAGGATTTTGCAAATGTTATTCATAGAGGGGACAACCTGACTGGCACAAGACGATGACCATAGGAAGAAATGGGCATCAAGTAATGAAACCACAATACTAGCATCTGCTACATATCTGGAAGAGAGTATCCCAGAAGGGCCAAAGGCTAACTATGAAATTTGAGGACAAATGTTGATCAATATTGTATTGTAGTGAAAATGTACCTGGCATATTATTGTACTACTCTACTCCAAATTTGTTGCAGCATTCATAACACATAACAGCCAGGTACATCACTTCATGGAGAATTTCATTTTGCAGGAATTACCTGTGGTTGGTTTTGGTTTTTTTTTTAGGGGAATATTCAAAAAGGACGCGACTGTCTCATTTATGGAAGCCTTCAATTCTCAGGTTTTCCAAAAGACTTCACTGTACTGTGCTGTGTACTTTATGTAACGTTCCATACATAGTGTCTTGCTCATCCAGTAGCGCTTCTGCAGCATTGGTTACCACACAGGATCCCTACTAACTAACTGGGGAGTGAGGAGTTGTTCAAAATAAAAAAGTTCATAACACTGAACAGCTCAAAATTGGAGCAGATGTGATGCATAGATTGAAGTATGGGGCACTGCATGGTTTTCTTCTAATCCTTCAAACCATTCAAAGCAATTTCCAATGCACTGAAGGCATCCAAATGTGAAGGGATGTCAACTTGATCTTCAGCATCACTTTCGTTTTGTGGGTCCTCGTTGGGGGAAAAATGGTTTGACTGACTGGTCAGTCGCAAGATTGCTGTTTGTAAAATCAAGGTTCTTCTGTAAATGCTTTTGTGGTCTGTATTGCAGGCAACACCCCAAAGCATCACATCTCCTGTTGTCATTGCCTCAGAGAGGGGTTAGGAAGAAAACTGTAGCTTTACTTTAACTGAAGTCGGCACCCACATCTGTTACTCACATAACTGCTAATCTCTTGTATTCAACACACATGCTCTGGGTAGAAAAGTTTTTCCATTCAGTTGCATTACTGATATCCATTGTTCCAACTTCTGACTTACACTTGCGCTTTCCAGGACATCAGCTATATTTTCAGCTGTAGTAAAGTGAAGACTCACTAGTGCAGCACTTCCTGCTGGTCGTCTTGGAAATTAGCAGTCCAGCATATGGAGCGCCTCCTCCTGGCTGGTGTCTAGCCTGCCACTGGCCCCGTGTCCCTCCTGGACCCCGGTGCCATTTACCTCAGGGTTCTGCCCCAGCAGTACCCCCTTGCTCTAGATCTCCCCTCCCAGGGGAACGAACCCCCAACCCTCTAAACCCACCTTGCCTCAGTGGCTACTGCCAGTCATCATCTAGCTCCCACTCACTGGGGCAGACTGCAGTGTAATGATCACTCATCATTGGCAAGGGGTTTTACCAGGCTGGAACTCCCCAGATCCCTTGCTCTATTCCCCAGCACTACTCCTTCCTCTCAGGCAGCTAGCCCTTCTCCCTCCAGGGCTGGAGAGAGACTCCTCCAGCTTCTGGCCCCCAGCCCTCTTATAAGGGCCAGCTGGGCTCTAATTAAGCTGGCCACACCTGTGGTCAGCTACTCCATCAGCTTCCCCCAGCTGTTCTCACTCCATTTCCCAGCCACAGCCCTCTCTGGGGCTGCTTTTAACCCTTGTTCTCCAGGATGGGGAAGCCACCCCACTACACCAACCCATATTTCTCTTCCATCAGATGCTGGTACAGTGGTATGAGGAATTTTGCACTGTCTGTGCTGAAGCATGCATACTGACAGTTTCTAGTACAACTTGTAAATTCTAATAAACCCTAAAAAGTGTGTGCGCGTGTTTGTATGTGCACATAAAATTGCACACCATGTGTGGAACTTATATCTGTGATAATTAGTCACACATCACAGACCACATAACCTGCTCTTTGCCTGCTAATATACCTCTCCAGGACTCATTTCAACCCCCTGCAGAGCTTCAAACAGCAGCCATTTTTTGTATCAACCTCGCAGATAAATGTTTCTTCTCCTTGACTTCCAAATACCAATACCCAAGGCCTATGATGGGCAAGATTCAGTCCTCAGCCTATGACAGGTTTTCTAGATACAGTTATGTAACACCTTGAAAGTATGTTATCAGGGTGCTTCCTATATGTTAGAAATATACTAAGTGACCATTATACTGTTGGAAAGGGGAGATTCCCAGCTTCCTAGTGCAACTTGATGAACTTACCTCTAACTTTGGTCAGGACCTAAGATATCTGACTTTAAGGTCATTACATTTTCATGTGAAGAAAAGCTGTTTAGGTCATTCTGAGAGAGTTTTCTAGCATCCACTGCACTCTGTACAGTAGAAATTACGGGGAAGGATAAAAATAATTCCCAGTAACGCTTTTTTAAAAAGATCTCTAAAACATTCCTAAAATATTTGTTCTTCAATGTATGTGGCATGCATAAAACACATGGTGGCGTGTTGTTGCATAAAGAGTTTATTGGCATTTGTCTGAGATTGACCTACATAACTGAATCGTGGCCTCACCACTTGGGAGTAATGTTGCATTTCAAATTGTGAAAAACATACCTTTAATAGGCAGCCGGTTTAATTGTCAGGAACACAACCCCCATGCTTTGGGTGTCCCTAAACTTTTGACTGCCAGAAGCTGGGACTGGATGACAGGGGATGGATCATTCAATCCTTGCCCTGATCTGTTCATTCCCTCTGAAGCATGTGGCACTGGCCACTGTCAGAAAACAGGGTATGGGGCTAGATGGACCACCAGTCTGACCCAGTATGGCCAGTCTTATATTCTTATATGTGCTGGGCTTCACCGTCATGTATTTCCTGTTTATATAATATAATCACAAACCATTCTGTAGGACTTTGTTATCTCTTAAACTCAACAGGAGAGAAATAGTTGGGTGGGTAAACAGTCGTTTGTCCCATCACTTTGTCCATCATTAGCATAGGATTTGGAGAGAGAAAGATGTTGTGTTTGCTGTCAGCAAAAGCTATAATTAAGGGGTATAAGTTAATGGCACATGTAGTGATAGTCAGTGAGGGATCTGCACAAGGCAAGGTTGAACTTGGATCTTTCTGAGCTGTGTGCCTTTTAAGATGTTGTATTAACATGGGATTTTTCTTCTAAATATCCAGCTTCAGAAAAACAAGGTGGGTGAGGTCATATCTTTTATTGGACCAACTTCTGTAGATGAGAGAGAGAGAGAGAGAGACAAGTTTTCGAGCCACACAGAGCTCTTCTTCACAGCTAAAGGCAAGATGGAACAGGTTGTGTAACTGTTTGGCTCCTAAGCGTGTCTCTTTCACCAACAGAAGTTATCACCTCATCCACCTTGTCTTTCTAATATCCTGGGATGAGCACACCTATAGCTACACTGCATACAGCTTCAGAAAAACATGCTGTTTTTTTTCTGCATATTTTCATATGAATTTGAATAAAATCTGTTGCTCATTCTTTGAGGATGCATGCAACAAAGCATGTCAGATATTAGTGCTGTGATAAGT